TCCCAGCTATCGAGAAGGTGCACGTGAATATAACGTTAAAATGCAAACTAGAGGGCTATTCCAACGGAAATTTTTGCCTTTGTAAAAATGTCCCTTTTCAAAATACTAGTATGTAGAATTCAAGCACCGTGGTCCAAGAAAACAATGGGTCTACCACAGCCACAATGGGCCTCCCACAGCCACAAGTTCGAAATAGACGACCGCACCAACCACAGTGACTTTGGCTTTTGAGATTGGCCCCGCCGATGTAATCGACCCCACCTGCCTTCCCGCGTTCCGTTTCAGTCCCGCCAAGGCCACGCGCTCGATCGTGCATTGTTCAAATAAAACTTGCCTTTTCTCTCCTTCGGATGGCACTTAAACGTATATAAGTGACGATTTTTAAGTTGTTGAGATTTGACGTATCATAGCTGATGAGTTATGGGGCTTTGATCTTTGAACAGGGTTTTAAAAGCAGGCCGAAGCATGCATCAGGTGCCTATGGGTAGTTTCCCGCCATTTTCCCGCCAAACGAATAACTCGTGAGATTATATGCATTCTTTAATTTTTTAATCGTATGTGAAGGTATCCTAGCCAACTTACCGTGCGTGCTGTGGTTGCGTCCCAGCTCTATACACGTATCGGTCACAGATGGGTTGAATTTTCCTCTAGGCTCACCCGTGATAGTTTCCTCCGCATGTCTGAATCCCGCAAGATCGAAATGGCGGGAAAATGTCCGTTACGTCATGTTGAATTGATATTGTACGCATGCGTGGTATGACGCCGGCAGTGTTGCGCAACAGTTCACTGTTTTTCCGCCACAACCACGCGCGCGTGCATTGTTAAAAACTCCTATCTGGCAAGGTATTGAATGGGTCCGGGTGAGACACCGCTCAATAAGAAATTTGAGAAAAATACGTTGTATGTTAATAGCTGCAATATAGATTCCATGCCTTTCTACTACCAATCCTTTTCAATATAGGAGTGGTATTATTTGTAGTACAGTACATCTTTATGGTATTATTTGTTGTACAGTAAATTTTTATTTATCTATTCATATCTTAAACGTCCTTATGCTCTCAACCTAAAAATGTACGAGGATGAACAAAAATCCCGGTGAGACTCACGTTTTCTCAATAATTCTGAATAATTGATTTATTTCAACACCAAAAGCAAACCTTGCAGCAGGGATAAGAATCCCTGAATTGAAAGAGTTTGCGTACAGAAAAAAGGTACAATAGGCAAGGCAAACAATACATGTATATACAAACCCTCATATACACTATAATAAAAAAAAATTATACCAAGCAAAATTACTATAAATTTTGAAAAGATTCGCCTGACACTTTTACCTTATAGTGTGCACCTCTATATTTTTTATTTACACCAACTTAAAATATCTACCCAAAGCATTTGCAAAAAATTTGAGATAAACAAAAGCTTAAGTCCAATTTTGGATAAACAAAAGACCCAAATAGCTGATCACGTGAGCGAGAGTTCATAGGTCAATCAAGTTTGGGCCATGTGCTTGTACCTTGGGTCAACAGGGAATTACCGGTGGAAAACAAAGAGGTGAGCATAACAAAATTCCATTGCTTTTCATAAGGCATCAGCAGAGTTTGGATAAGTTCAGTGTGACAGTGTTATTAAGATGTCGATTATCAGTGCTCTGTTCATTCTCGTACCTGGTTAGGTTGAGACCATAAGCACGTGTAAGATGTACACTATACTCAACTACCACTCTTATATTGACACTTAGACACTTAAATATTAGTTATAAGAACATGAATGGGATATAGCAGAAAGGCATGGAATTTATATTGCAGCTATTGGCATAGAACATATTTTCTCAAAGTCCTTATTGAGCGAAGGGAAAACTTCAATTTGCACGGATAAATTTAATCTCTTTGTCTACCCAAGGAGGTATGCACACCTGTTGTTTTGTTTATAGTCTAGGGTTACAGGTCATTGGCATCGCGTCGGTCGCCATCTTTGTTCTTTGTCTGGTACCAACACGTGGTTGCTTCGTAGGTACATTATATACATGATAGCGTCTATCGCATTTTAGGCGACAAATTTGCAATAATTTGTGATTTAACTGCCAGTTATGGAATGTAATACTTGCCTAGTGCTATATTGCTAATTTGGTTTGCTGTTTTAGTGCAATTAAGTACGGTTAGCTATTGTCAATAGAGCCTGCGAACACACTATATCATTCACATGCTGTACACAATGGTCACAATGGTGTATATAATATCCTGGCTGTACCTACGAACTGGATTGAAAGTCAGACACAGCTCACAGCACACAGCTGTAAATCACAGGGCCGTCCTATTTCTGAATTGAGTGCGCGTCGCAAAAAGCGCCATCGCATTATCGGATCAGTTTTAGTGAGCCACCCAGACAAACCACTGTGGGAGGGCACATCAAGGCCAACAGACAAAAGGCTCACAGGTGTTGTGAATACTGAATGAGGGGTGGGGGCTTCAGACAAAATCATGGCCGCTTCCTACTGAGTTTCGTCTTTCTCCCTACCTAATGCTATTCCTAAAACCACAACCGATACGTGAAATACTTTCCACTATGTTCAATGAAGACTGTAATATACAACAGATTCTTTCACTTCATGACAAAAAAAAGGAGTCAAAGCTGAAACACTCACCCCTGGTATTAGAAACTGCATGGTGAAATATATAGGAAGATCTGTAATTCATAAATTAATAATTTCGAATTGCTTTATCGCTTTACTTAGCTTGTAAGGGCATATACTTCATTCATCCAAGATCATTCATTCATGCATCCATTATACTCGTTAATATTTTATCATGCAATCATATTCAGGTCTTTGTGAATATCGCTTTACGAATGACAGTTTAACAAGATCATAATCTGGCACTCTGAGGCTGATATGTGAAGAGAGTTGATCAGGCTAGAAGTAATCTGGTTTTTAATACATGTATAAGTATATCATATCATACTATGCAGATGCCAGATGTCGATTTTCACATAAGTCATGGTGCAAAATTTCTGGTGCTATTTCTTGTATTTCCTTGTGCATACCGCATATACTAGGTACTGATGTCATTCCACTATTTTTTTAGAATAAATGGGTTCTTTAAATTGGTATTGGCATCATTGTGGCTGTTCCCAACCAAAGTTTCCTCTACAATATACATGTAAGTCTTAAATGGAAAATACTATAATCCAGGTGGATTGAAGCGTCAATCCCATCAAATACGGCACATTTTGGCACTCTTTGTTTGGCACAGGCTTATCAAGACTTGATAAGGATGATAGATGGTAATATAACACGGACCAAAGCAGGTCCGTGCAAGATTACTTGGAAAACCTGAAGAAATGTGTACTTCTCATCGATATTATTGTAATGGTGTCAGAAGAAGCATTGAGGCTCAGTAAGTGGCCGAAAACATTACCACTGTAAGCCCACTACCTACATTTCGTCATGCAATATATCCACCCATAGTTAAACACGTACACTTGGCTAGTCTTGAAATCCCACCGGCATTACGAAAAAGACAACAGGGAAATATTATCTTGATTACATTTTAATAACTGCGGATTGGAAGTGAAATTCCATTACACAACGTTGAATAATTGATGTATACACATGGATATTTTTCATTCATAATGGCTCGTACCACAATTTGCGTTCTGAGGTTTCTTCTAGATACATGTACTTCAAATTTTGAATGAGTCACTTTGATCCAACCATTTAAGTGTTATTTCGCACCATTTCGGCCCAAACAGTGGAAACCAGACGGCCATCAAGACAAAATAGGATAAACAAGTAAAATCTGAGATTTTATACCTCCGGGCTTTTTATTGTATATTCTTATATGTTGTTTGTTATGTATAGTTGATGGTGTTGAATTCTGTGTTAGAATTATCGTTCCAGGTTGTGTTAACACAGGACGTCAACATTTTCATCTGCAGATTATAACATGTACCAACGAACTTATGAAATTCTATTCAATCTGCCGCAAGGAACTCGTAATGAATGTCGACGTTCCCAAACCGTTCTTCTACCCTTCCGGATGTCTCATTCCCCGGAGGTAATTATGTCTTTAGTAGGGCAGTCACGCGAAAGAATTGAAACTCACGCGCAAGACCGTTTTCAGACAAAGGTAGACTGACATCCAAGTCTAGGTGAGACAAAGGGGCGAAGCAAATGTCCATACCATATCGGAATTACAACTTAACGGATCATTTAATGCCCATAGTTAATATCTAATTTAATATTCAGACTCTAAAATATGGTGTTCATTGAAGTGAATTTGTCAGATTCCCATGCACTTGCCCCTATTCATGGTGACAGCTTGCCTTTTTGAAGGCATTTAAAAACATGAATATAGGAACGTAAGACTCACAATTATAAGGCTAAGGCACATGCTATATAATCCTTTTCTCTCACTCTGTGATAAATAACTAGCCAGGATAACAAACTGAAAATCAACAAGCGTAGAATTAGGCGTAGCCTTGGTTATACACATTTACATGTTTACTTGGTTATATTATTTACAATTCAGCTTAGTTCACACCAACCAACGCAATTAAATCATTGCCCCAAGATTATGTATACTAGTATCCTTTTTGTAACATCAAACAAACTAGTGGTACATGGGAAAGAAGGGAACGGCTAGTAAAAGCTGAACACAAATAGAATGGTTACCGGAAATGTTTGTTATACATCAACGGACCTGAAATCAACTGCTGTATTTAAGCTAAGGTGAAAAGTATTAACAGGTACATGTAAAGATACGTGATTTAGAAATCATAACGAACTTTCTTATAGCAATACCTTCATTCCCGTCTTGGATTATAGGAACAAAAAGCACTGTTTGCACCGACGGATAATACAAATCCACGTCAGTTCACCTGGCGCCCAAATATGCAAATCAAAGTACTAGTAAACGTTAACGTAAGTCTGATTGCATTGTTACCACGGTACCCACAGCTCATATTTTTGATATTAAGTCTTGTCTATTCAACAATGTACTCACCGCTTAGAGTTTCACACGTCTTGGATGTCGAGCGTTGCCCAGGTAGACCCGTAGTGACCAAGAATTTTAGCGTGCTTATATGGCCCTTTGTTAGCCTCTCTGTCACATGATAGATCGTGGGGGTGGACCGGAAGAATATTAAGGGCATGATCAAAACAATGTCATGCACCAAAGTAATTTCTGTCAGGTCGACGTTGTTCGATGAAAGACCTTACCATGACAACGTTGGTTTTGTTGGCAGAAAATGGTTACGACACCCCTCACGCACAGACAATATGGCGACTTACAATTTTGGCACATTTTTCACAGATATAAACAATCTTCAAACCCACTATTTGTCAATATCTCGCAACGTAAAAAAAAAAAACGAAAAAAGCAGGAAATAATTAATTTATAACAGTTATACACCTAGACTTTTATTTTATTTTCTAGAATCCAACGACCCGTGTCATGGTGTAAATTAGCTTCATTGCTGTGCTGCATGTAAACAAAACTGAGAGGCCACTTCGCTTACGAGGGTTAACGCGCATATCCCAAGGGGGCCTCACGGTTAGTGTTGGCCCATAGCGTTACATATACTTGACTGAGAAGAAACTAAGATGTCATTTCACTCAGAGGTACTGCTACTACTGTATAGAATCCCAAGCAAAATACAATAGAATATGCCGTTCACGTAAAATACGTATATCCCATTAAGCACGTGCGCATGACCTGTCTCCATATTGCAGGACATGCTTCGCTTTGTTCCCCATACAACATACCTGTCGCCAGGCCTATGTAGTGCCACGTGGACACAGCTAGGCCGAGTCACCTGTCCGTAATTTCTCACACCCGTGACAACAGCCGCACATTTCATAGCCCCAGACACTTCAGAACCGTTCATCTTGTGACATTGGCCAAAATGTCAGGGGTGCAATGACTCACACACTACAATATGTAACCTGTTACCTTTACCTATTGGCCCCCTTCTTGAAAGTATATACAATGCCCTTGTTTTGTGGCCCTATCAGCGCAAGGTCATCTCACAGATTGTTAATGTCGTGAAGGGGAAAGAAGGCCAAGATGTAACTAATGTGCAGATTTTCGCGATTTTTTTTGTGATTTGTGTTACACGGATTGCAAAAATATTGTATTGTGCTGGGTAGGAATGCAAACCTATACATGTGATTAATGAAAAAATAGTCATTTGTTGGGGCAGAGGTACCAAAGAGGTTTGTTACCTCCATGACAATAATACAATAACATCCATGACATGTCATGGAGGTTATATTTTTGGCATATTTCTAACGTTGTTACGTTACTGACATGATTTCTTCCTCTACTTGTAGATGTAGCTTGATAGAAAACATATGATCACCATGCACTATATCAGTTACATATCTATTACTGTGAAACATAATTCTTTGATGTTATTCATGTGTGAAAAAAGAGGTGTGCTTGCGCAATAAATTGAATAATGTTCATATTAACAAAACAAAAATAGTACCCATACCCTAGTTGGTCACCGCATTCCTGGTAATATTATAGTCATGTGTAACAAAACAATGTTATCGCTTAGCGACCTTTTGAAAACCTCTAGTATTTCATGAATTTGACTACTGTTTTACTCATGAGAGCATTACTGGCAAAATAACAACGTGACTATATGGAATTCATGTCTTTCAAAACCTGGTATTCCATGAATTTGACTACTGTATTACTCTTGAGAGCATTACTGGCAAAATAGCAACATAATTTATATGGGATTCATAGGATTTATGTCTACAGTGATAGGTTTATTGACAAAAGACAGGCGGAACAAACTGTTATTGTATACATATCGGGTAATGTTTGTAAGGTTATGCTCTGTAGATTGGAAACATGTGTACGAGTAACTGGCGGAAATAGGTGTCCTGGTGTCATTATAAAACAAGCCACTTGGCGTGTACATGTACCTACTCATCTGTATTGGTTCCGTTTAACTTGTTTCTCAGGAAGTCTATCTGGGGTGTTTGGTGTCAACCAAAGAGTAATGACATCTCAAGATACTGTTTGCGGTTCCCCCCCAACAACACTTTAGGATATACGTCTACTTCCATCAATATTGATAACATCCGACCAACCAAACTCCAGTACGTTCTTTGTAAACAATTTCAAGTATATCTAAAATGTAGTATGACAAATTATCCATGCTGGTTATATATGCAGTAGCAATTATCAAAGACGGAATGTCACGAGAAAATGCCACCACAGTGATTGTGTAGTCACCACAATCCCTTTGAAGTGGTCCAAACGATAACCGAGTATGGAACTTACATGTAGTTGAATAGGCACTGACAAAGAACAAAATACCCACGTGCCTTATATTGCTAGAGGACGCCAGAGGAAGGCACATATTTTCCGAAATACAGAATTGTATGCCTTTGAAGGAGCAGCAGGTTGAATGGGAAAATATTATAGTGGTGTTCATAGGCGTCCATGATGACAACATTTCCATTTTGAACAAAACCCCTTCTTTTGACCAGACTTCCACATGTTGATACGAGTAGTATACTGCGAGGATAGTGATACCATACTGCACTGCGTCAGCTCTAGCAACAAGTTAGCTGGTTAAAGCTGTACATCATGTGTACTTTTGAAAAGGAAAAATAGGTACTTGGTAGTGTGAGGTCATAAACAAAGAAAGATATGGCGGCAACAACGAACGCAATATCCAGTTTGACCGGCCACAAAATCTACCAAACACATTATTGTCCCACTCCGAAATTGTGACTTACTAAAACATGGTAGTGTACACATGTTGTATATATTATAGGAAATGTGTTGTTGGAAATATGTTTGGGAAATAACCTGTTTTGTAGAAACACTTGGTGTTGTGTCATACCCATATGGTTTGACACGTTCACATGAATACCACAGATCAAAGACAACCCTTCAAACAGTTGTGTGGTCGCCATAATAGCTAGTTTGTGTGAAAAGGCGGTAATACGTGAGTTAGATCTTTCCTACAAATGTACGATGCGACGTACCAACCCGCCATATACTCACTTGTATGTGACAGAAAAGATAGCTCAAACGTGCACCCTTTACAATAATTATCACCTCAAACAGCACCTACCTGATTTCTGTTGTCTTCGGAACACAATGGAGGGTCCAAATAGACACCCAACTGTCTGCCTGGAGCCTGGTTTATAGGAAACCTCCGCACTCGCGCGCTGTTTGATATCAAATGCGGTGATGATCGCCCGGCCAGGGTTGGCTTTTCTCCCTTTGTCCCTAATATGGTAGTGACAGTGTGACCCCTCCTGACACCATAATGGCGTACCGCACAACCCAGTAATCTTTTCGATTAGCCGCAGTTTTACACGTGTTTGGCGTGTGATGATAAGTGACCAACTGGTATATATCCACGTATATCCACTGTAAGTTGCCATTTCATTTGACGTAGACGCCAGGCTGGCTGTGGTAATAGTAGTAGTAAGGCCACCTGCATGAGTAGACACCTTACATGTATGTAGCCGATCCTTCCATACCGCCATACTTTTTTTTACTTAAATCTCACCACGTTGAATTTTAAATAAATGTATTCCAGCAACTTTGAAAATAGTAACTAGTAAAAATCCACACGATTAAATACAGAAGCCTGTAAAATATCCATGTAAATTACCTTTATTGCCGTTGTATGAACGAAAACGTACAGTGGCAAGAGGCCCTTGATTCTGCAACACCCAAAGGGGGCCCCCACAGTCTCTCAGAAATTCCAGACAAACTTTTAGTTCTTCGAAGAAATACTAGTATATTCCTGTCCAATTATCCATCGTAATTCCTGTGAACATGCCTTGCTTTTCATTAGACGGAAACTTGTCTGATGTATTGTATGAAGTATTCCACATGCAAACGTTTCCTATGCAGTTCGCCGTTTGTGACCACCTGCCCCTTGCCTTTTCAAGTTCCGCACATGCACAAAACACACCTGTCACCTCCTCGCACCTGCTGAAGCTGTAACTGTAGATTCCTACACTCGGAAGAGACGTGAATCCCCTCCCTTGCTCAGACATGCCTATTCCAACGTTGTTCACACATCCAGGGATTACAGTCGTCTCTTGTAGCAGAAAACCTCAAACCTGTGCTCCGCCTAAGAAAGAATGATCGCGGATAGCAATGAGTCACCCTTCAGCGTTACACCCTTCCAGCTGTAACCTGTTCCTCTTGTCTGGTGCCCTACCCTACCCAAATCTATGCATACCAAACCTTCAAACAGAAGTACTATTTATAGCCTCTGTTACTAGGCAAAATGTCGGGTCTATTTGCTTGTCCTCCGGTATCATGATAAATCATGCTAGAGGTTTTTGATAGTCCTCTAAATGTTACTAGCTGCAGTATACATGTACGCTCATGTCCACACACACAGTTAAGCATGGGTTTCAGAAAAACAAATTGAGTTTATGATGTGCTTACAGGGTAAGTTTATGTTCATCTAGTAAACCTTAGTTAGTCCTTAGTACGGTAATGGCTTAAGCAAACTTTTGATTTTGTAGGTAGCGTTAGACTGGAAGTAATCCTTTAGCACACAGTTCAACGGGGCTCAATTGTGTTACGCCGGATTGCCCTTTATCAGCCATTGACGAAACTTACACAAGTCTTTATACTTTATACAAACATACAGATGACCTGCAAATGAATGGGTTCCTCTTTTTCTCATAATACATATTTAGCATATGGTTCCATTTTTCTAGCACCAATCGTATGCACAGTTCCTTTCAGCGTGTCGCCAAGTTAGGAACAAGGCGTTTGTAACGACTGATACTGTTGGCTGAAAATGGTGACAGAATGGGGAAGTCCCTGTACCTGTTCCTATTTTAGGGCGAAGTGGTACTTTCCAAGGAAACATGGCTGAGTCATCAGAGGGGAGGTTGACTCCCGGTCTACACCATAGGGTAACGTTAAAACTTTTTGTCGTAACCGGTCGTAGTTGTGCTCCGCAAACTGTCTGCAGTTCGGGGGAGCGTATGCTTAAGATCTCCAGAGTTAACCATTGAACAGTGCATGGACCGATAGAGGATGGATTGTACGTATAATCTTTAATGGCGCTTGGGCCAGATATTTACATGTGCAATGTGACTGCTTGCAAATATGCGTATGCCTAAGACTCGACTAAGAGTATGGTCTTTTGAGACCGACTGACAGAGACTTATTGGTCCTTTGAGATCAGAGTAACTTTTGCAGTATAACTCAAGTGTGCTTGTTTCGAGTGACATATGTAATGTCTAACGTAAGTGGGGGCCATACAATCCCTCGTATAATACACCAATGCTCCGCAGTTGTTAGGAGAAGCTATCGCGTAAAGAAACCCACCATAGCCTAGAACTAGTAGTAGTCTCCTGAGATATGGTAATACTCTATATTTCAAGGTGAAGATAATTCTTTATTCAAGTTCAATCATTGCCTTCCCCTTTCTACTAAGAATGGAAGAGATACCGTTTAATACAAATCTGTCATATCAATAGCGTCTCCTAAATAATATACTAAGCTGTGACATTACCATAACACATCCAGCCCAGTGCAGTTTGGCATTAATGACGTACTCACGATTGTAATGGTTCAGCATATAAAAAGAGAGCTGGACCAGAACAATCGAGAATACGCCCATCAACGAGTCCTCCTCATCTAGAAGTAGAAACTCAAAGTATCAATTCAAAGATATTGGGCAAAATAACACCATCTACTGTGTATTAATACTTGTCCTGGCTTCGTCTCGTTGTACCGGTGATGCTCGAAGACCTAAAAAGGAAGGCAATATTTATCCTCCATCTTGTTTTCAGTATTTCTCCGTTCCAGTTTGGCATTGATGACGTACTCACGGTTGTAATGGTTCAGCACAAAGATAGAGCTGGACCAGAACAATCGAGAATACGCCCATCAACGAGGTCATAAGACATTTTCATCTAGGAATAAAAACTCAAAGAAGCAAGATATACAGTCAATACCATCTACTCACTGTGTATTACCTGCCCTGGCCTCGTCTCATGGACATAGACAGGAAAACTGGAGGACGAAATGGACATCATGACAGGTTCTTATTGTTCGCCATCTTTTCCATGAGAAGGGGGAAGCCCCTTAAGCTTGTCTCCAGACGTATACTGGCGATGCTCGAAATTAAAAGACCTAAAATGCAATCATCATCATCATCATGCAATATTTACCGTAAATCTCGATCTTATTTCAGTGTTTCTTCAAATGCGCTCGAACCCCTCCCTTTTAACATTGCAAACGAACTAGCCTCTATGGGTGCATGCTGGGATATACTCAGGACTCAGCCGAGGGTGATGCAATGTCTGGAGACAAGCTTAAGGGGCTTCCCCCTTCTCATGGAAAAGATGGCGAACAATAAGAACCTGTCATGATGTCCATTTCGTCCTCCAGTTTTCCTGTCTATGTCCATGTCTATGATAATATCGTATCCAGCAAGTCGTACTTGCAACGTAAGAGACCATCTGTGTAAGTCTATCCTCTTCTATTCAGCTGACGGTACGTGTGTATATAGACGGCATATTCCCCCAAATGGACGACGACATGGCTGTTATGTTCTCGTTCAGTCCCTTGGAACTATGCATCATCTAACCTGTACAAGGGGTATACAAGGACAATGATGCTTTTAGACCAGCGTCTTCTCTAGATCTTGCAATCCTCGCCCTTTGCCTTTGAATAACAGTCTTTAAATTCGAGAGACATATGGCGTGATCGGCGTGTTCTGACTTGAAAGTGAATGACGTATTTACAATCTACCATGAAGGTGCATGTGTTGCCTTTCCCATTTGAAAAAAAAGCGCGGTTTTTCTAAAACAATCGACACAATCTTCTACCCCAGCATTTGCCCTTCCCATATGATTTCTCTTATCCTAGCCATTCAAGTTCAGGGTCATGTTATTGTGGGCATACAGGCCCCATGCTTCCGTACTGCTGAGAACCAATAACTGTGCGAGGTCACTAATTGCAACCAACCTTAATGTTGTGTCATTTGACCTATTTCATGACTCCGTGGGCAGTTATTACTCGATAGGAACAATGTTAGGGGGTCGAAGGATAATGACGATGATAATAAGGGTAATTTGGGAACTTAAGTCTGTATCAAAGGCCTAGTATCCTTCCCACTAGATGGCGATCGCTATTATCAGTATCACTGAAATATAATACAAGATAGCTTAATGACAGCAAAACGTACGTTAACAGATTCATTCTTTATCTTTGAATGTCTTTAACCGGCGATGACCTGAACTTTGGCCGTTCAGTGGTCGCCGAATTAGCGTAGTCCCTAGTGGAACGGTGCGGGGGGGGGGTAGTCACTTTCCGTGGGCGTCATGGGTATAAATTTTTTTCATGCATACAATTTGCCACACCTTAACCGACTTCACGTTCGAGAGAAGCCAGCGCACGTGTGTCCGGTGTGGGTTAGGAGTTTCCACGAGCAAGAAAAGATTTCGCTAAGATTGTTCGGCAGCACGGTAGGTTAGTGTTTACCTTCCTATCCCAAGGTCCGCCACGTTTTTCTTTTAGGTTTTAGCTGCTTTGAAGGTGTGTAGTTTTCAAGTCTACGGAACAGGTGCGCGGTGGTATTTCTGAATGTTGTGCGGAAATCGGACTGTTCACATTTACTAATGTAGGGTTTTCCTATAAATATAAGGTTCGAAATTGTAAATGGCTACAATTACAAGAAATTACTTATTGGAATTGATTTATGATATTAATTTTGTCTGTAATGTGTGAAAATGTGGTTACAGCGGGATACTGGATGCAAAGGAATGTTCGAACATGTAACACACAGCATACTTGACCTTATAGGTGGAACTGTTTCCGTTATGTCCTCCGGCAACTTAAACCTCCGTTCTCGTCACTGCCAGTGGAAACGCAGGGGAAACGTTTGGATTTAGAAGTTAAAACGGTTTACCCTGCATTATGTGTAACACATGTTTGGCTTTTCCTCACAGTAATGTCGGTAACTGTTTTCCACATGCAGCACATACATGCACGCCTGAAACAAGTAACTTACAAGTAGCGCTACTAGTACAATCCTCAACTTGTCTGGGGCACTAAAGAAGATCATAGTCAGTGAACTAGTAAAGAAATACCATACCTTTGACACATAGTCATACCCACCTGACTCTACAAAGAGAAGTTGGCTTTGTGAGCACCTGAAGTCCTGATTGGCCTGCATTCTCACCTTTGCCAATTTTGGCGTTTGAGTGGGGGAAGCGGATATGAGCCACCTTATATTAATATATACACCCACACCATGATCTAATGTTTGCATAGCGTCACTCACGTGACCTGTAGATGGGGAATCCCCTTGGACGAGTCCATTTGAATATTGGTGGTTTGGCCTCTTGTTAGTTTTTAAAAAGGACCATCATAGAAATGATGTAGAGGTATAAAATTGCTTCCATTGGAAGTAACAAGTAAATGCCACCATTGTCGAATCCAAAATTGTAAAAAGGTTTTTGCGTTTCGTCATGAAGAACACGGGATTTGAAGATGCTTTGCTGCGATTCACCTAACATTATAAAATGAGTTCAACCAGGGTCAACAGGTTGGTCTTGTGACTGTCTAGTAGCCGAAGTTCATTTAAATATCCTACTGGCTCAAAGGAATAGGGACATAGCCATACTTTTCCTTGAAGAATTCAGGAACTATAAATACTATATATACTAGTATGCGCACCAAATTTTGAAAAGGGTATTGCATCATATGCACGTGCTACATGTGTCACGAGGTACTTTAAAGACTTTATCCACGATAAATTTCCCAGAGAAGGCTGTCTTGATGGCTTACCACTGTTTGAGTCCCTTGATACAAGATACGGTATGTACGCCTTATACATATACTCACCAACTTCGATGTAGGGTCATACGTAATATGCACTGTGTTGATCAGTTTTCCAGTAAAAGTAATTATTAAAAGTAATTATTAAAAATTCAGTCAAATATGATAAAATAATCTGTAACTTTACTCGCCTCATCCGCCCGTTGGGTACTGCCGCCATAGTCTCCACAAGACTCTTTTGCAGGGGGAATAAAATAGTAGTGATTGGCCTACAATGACTGTAGTTGTAGGCAAACTGTACCCTCTATGGCCGGCCAACTTCCCTGGCCAGCTACAGTCTTCTTAGGCCGATTTCTACTGCAGTAACTGTAAAAGAGTCTGGTGAGGACTACTGCCGGTACTTGAACGGATCCGAAAAAGTGAAACTAGCTGCAAGCCAACGTTAAACTGATCAGGGGTCGTCAAAAAAGTGAAGTCAAAATGCAAAATCATGACAATAACGCAATTTTGCACATACAAGATATTCAAACCAAGGATAAGTGATTTTACTGTATATATATGTCACATTTTACATTGGGATCGGTTGACATGATTAGCTGATGTAGACGTGGCAGCATCATGTGACTTGGGATTCCCCGGCGCCATACCATGCCACGTACACAGTTTAAAGGTCTTGCTAGATTGACATCGCGACAGTACTGTACACATGGTAGCTATTATTCAGTCATTACATGTGTATGTATTTAAGATCTCCCTATGATATCCCTGGTAACATTCACTAGTGATATAGTAAACTAGAACAACCACCAGGATATTGGATTGAAATAACTAAAACAATCAATGTCAGTGTGTGACTCATTCATAACTTCAAAAACACGAAAGGGTTGGAACTAAAGAACAATGTAATGCTTATTAAGGTGAACTGACAGTTAAGGTATGGGGTACGTGGCAAGTGTTACTGTCTGTCGTCAGATGACATATACATGATGCCCCCATACAGGCAAGACATACAACCATGACCGACGGAAATTGACTTGGTGGCAACCGAATGGGGACGTTAGGCCATACCAATATAATTGGTTGGTTCTTGGATTCGCCCGCTTCATTTTTTTTCTGTTTCGCAAAAAAAAAAAAAAAGATTCAGGTTTTGAATCAACTCCAAAATTCTCATATTTTGGCCCAAACAGTTGAAGAAAACTCCTTGACTTCGTTGTTGTGACAGTTTTTCCGAGAACCAACAATTCAAAATGGTGTGGCCTTAAATTAAGAGACAACAATAACTATGACTAACGTTTGCGCATCAGGCGTCCAGGATTCAACCAATCAGTGCCATGTACTCGCTCCACGGGTCTCTATGGGCGTTAGCTGCATGTAGCAACGAACTGACCGTACAATGTACATAAACATACGCGAGCTATCTTATGCTACAGAAATGTTCACAGGTACGAACCAAGCACGCTTCTTTAATAGTCATGTCTACGATCGCTTATAGATGGTATTACTTTTATAACCAATCAATTTGTAGTTATGTTAGATATTATTTTGTTGTTTTACAGGTACATTGCGGATAGGCCAAGTGACAGCCTATAATGCCAGGATACTCTGTCAAGTTACAAGGAGGCAGAGCTGATCCTAAATACCTGTGTACCAGCTGCGGGTTGTTACTCCGTGAACCCAAACAAACACCATGTGGACACCGGTACTGTCAGTCATGTGTGGAGGAACTCACAAGGTAACATATTTGTAGCGTTATTATAGCGCGTATACGTAACTACGGGAGGGGTGGGGGGCACAATGATCATGTTCCTCGAGACAAGCTTTTTCCATAGTTTGCCATGAATGTACATATTCGTACATGGAGCATCACGGATGCCAACAATATTCCAAACTTTTTGATTAGAACACCGAAGTTAAGATTTAAACGTTGTTTTTACAGGATACATACCAGTCACATCAGACCCCTTCCGCACCGTGTCGTTTATGTACATGTAGTCAGTAGCAACGGGGAATCCCCTCGTTGTTGTGATCGGGATCCCATTGGCATTACAATCCCCCTACCGGCGAGTTCGTGCGATGCATCTGCAGAGCGTGGCCTTTTCAATGCACTGAAAATGTATTGCTCTAGGGAACATAAGCTTTCTTCACCTCTATAACAGAAATTTGTAGGGCTATCTTATATACACAGTCTTGATATAGTGGGCATTAAGAATTCGAAGACTCAGGCTGATGAGGCTACCGTGTCTTAACCATTATTTTGCCTGACGTTTAGGAGCTGGGGAGGAAAATGCAAAGCACGGAGCTGTGGCGAGGTGGTTCAAACACAGGACGTAAGTTGTGTTAAAAACGTTTAAAATTACTCTGGAGACTACTCAAAATAGAATACTTTAGAAGAATTGGTGTTACAATAAAAACTACAACAGTGTTGGGTGGATACAACTATACTACCAACAAGATACTGTCCAAAATGGCACGAAAATTGTCGTAGCTTCAAACATAAACGATAACGTCGATTGTAACACTGATATTCATGATATCAATTCCACCATGTAGTGTACATGTGTTTGTATGTGGAAGCTAGATGATGGTACCTTGATACTAGATCGATGATATGGATCTTTTATTTTATTTTCCAGGTGTACCCCGACAAAGCCATAGAACGGGAGATTCTGATCCTTGCGATATTCTGCAGCAATGTCGATGATGGTTGTAAATGGGAAGGCGTTGTTCGTCATCTCATGGTAAGATGCTGGCATAACGAGTTGCACTCAATTATGGACGATTGGCATTTTATTACATTATAAGAAAACACGAAAATTATATATACCTTTCGATGCAAACGATGCAACGTTTGATATTCTTGGAAAAAAAATGAAGTTCATGAATTATGCCACTAATTATTTCTTTGTGATACATACACCGAATAGAGGACGGAAGCTCCATTTATCTGATCAGTTGTATATATTGTTATGTGACATCGAATGACCACGAGAATATTTGTACAGGAACACTTGGCGGAATGTGACTATGAAAAGATCACGTGTATCAATGCTGGCCAAGGCTGTGTGGCGACTATCTGCAGGAAGAATCTGGCGAACCATCTACAGTCTGACTGTGACTACCGACCTGTGACGTGTCAGTGGTGTGAAGAGACCACGCCTCATAAAGACATGAAGGTAAGGAGTTAGAACACTCGCTGAGTTACATCTAGTAGCATTAGAATATCTTAAAGGGGGAGGGGTACAACTGGCTAATCATTAATTATGACAGAAATGACAACGCAGGGCTGGCAATATATACAATCCCTTATATGCATTATAATACATTATTTTGTACCAAGCAAACCTTTATACAGATGAGGTTTAGGAAAGATAAACATGATAGTGATGTGACAGTGATGTGACAGTTCTTTGTTGTACAGGGTTTTGCATTTTTTATCTTTCGCTTAACATTAATTCCTCTTTTTTTGCTTAGGCGCACAAGCGGACCTGCCCCTCAGCCCCAGTACAGTGTGACTGGTGCAGTAAGAAAGGTCTGACTCGGGCTCAACTACAGGAGCATCAACATCCAGAGACAGGGAACTGTCCTAACATGAAGATAGCGTGCAGCTTTGAACTGCTGGGGTGCAAGGAAAGGGTAATTAGAACTATATACTAATCATTTTCTGAAATGTTTAAGTTTTTCATGATCTTATGATAAAGCCGTGTTGCGAGATGACCATGTACCAGTACATACTCATAATTTGTGGTTCTGTACTTGACATGCACAGATGGAGAAAAGGCAGTTAACAGAGCACTTGAAGAAGACGGTTCAGCCTCATCTGAGCTTGACCAACACATACGTTGTCTGCTTAGCTACCAATTTCGAGCAACACCGACAAAAAGAAGAAGAAGCACGCGAAAATATGAGAATCCTGATTCTTCAACTGGAAAAGGGCATCAAAGATGTCGATGCCAAAATTGTTGAGATCGAAGGCAAGCTGTCAAGCGAGCAACCACAAGGAGCTGCTTCATCTGGTGGCAACAAGACTCTAGAAAACCGGATTGAGCAGGAACGCACTAAGGTGGAAGAGCTTAGGAGGAAAATCGCTGCATGGGAGACAAGAGTCGGCACGTTCGAAGGGATCGTCGCCGTCCTGAACCGTGAGATCGAGAAGTGCAGCTCACAGATGGAGGCGTACGAACGACAACGTCGGCAGGACAGGGAGATCATCGAGACCCTGGAGAGGAAGGTCAGGTCTCTGGAGAGGATCATCGCTCTGAAGGACGTCGCCCTCGCCGAACAAGACCTCCGGATCCAGACCCTCGAACTGACCAGCTATGACGGCATCCTGACTTGGAAGATTCCGGATTTTACACGCAAGCGCCACGACGCCATCACGGGGAAGACAGCGAGTTTCTACTCGCCATGTTTCTTCACCAGCCGTACAGGGTACAAGATGTGCGCCCGGATCTACCTGAACGGAGACGGGATGGGGAAGGGCACTCATGTCAGCCTGTTCTTCGTCCTGATGAGGGGGCACTACGATGGACTACTGCGCTGGCCGTTTAGACAAAAGGTAAATAAATACAGTTGACGTTTTTTTAATTTTTTTGTGACCTTTTGCACACATTGATTGATTGATGTCAACATTTCTCATAGTTCAGGTCTCAGAACACTGAGTGACATAATGGTTGTAAGTGTTGAAGACACTGAAAATGAAGTTTCTGAATCAAATGTTACTATACCCATCATCGGTAAAATTCAACAAGTCCATTTTCTGATTCCCCAGGTATCTTTTATGTTGGTGGACCAGAATAACCGAGAAAATGTGACGGACGCGTTCCGCCCTGACCCGACCAGCTCGTCCTTCCAGCGGCCCACCAGTGACATGAACATCGCCAGTGGATGTCCGCTCTTCGTGCCGCTCAGTCAGCTGGAGAGCAGCAGCCATGGGTACGTCAGGGACGATACCATGTTCATCAGGGTCATCGTGGATACATCAGATCTTTAACTAAACAAACATACTAAGGTTAGTATTTTAAGCTGTTCATACCGTTTTTCGTAGGGAATTAGATACATTATGCCGTACAAACATTACAGGATGAAAGACAATCTGATACAGGAATACTTTCAATACTGAGGAAGAGGAATCCCACATAATCATAAGTACTAAAATGTACAGTTTCCTACGAAAAACGTCTTGAACAGTTTTAAGTACTTTCCATGAAAGGTTACACCTGTGTTTCCAAGAAACGTTCAGTATGTTATATTTAGAACAAAAGAAGGGATGGAGGACAAAAATAAATGCTGGAAAAAATAAATGCTAGGTCTGACAAAGTGTATTAGAAAATATCATAGTGCATGGATTTTTTTCTGACTTACAGTTTATTAAATGTTGTCATTTAGTAAATGTCAATATCGAGACTTTAAAATTCCGGATACTAATAGAGAACCTTCACATAAGAAACAGTAGTACGTGGAATGTCATCAGACAGTGACTGCATCTATAAACAATCATCAAGTAACACTAACTAGTAAGGTTTATCCCATAGGGGTGTGTACGTGTTGTATCTATGTGCAGCTTCTTTATTATACGTATCACCATGATACAGATAATCAGCGCAAGGAATGTTACAGAAATCACAAATCGTACTGCAGCGCTAGCTTGATAGCTCACCAGCATGGCATTCATCACTTTAAAAATACATTAACTACTTGTATGATTTTACAGTTGATACAGTTTGCAAATGTTTGTAAAAACTCACTGTGTAGTTTTCTCCCTCACAGAAAACAGACCTATCATAGCCTATGTGTCAATACAGTAATGTAGGTTATGGAAATGTTACTAACGTAGAATATAAGCATAAATGTATACAGGATTGAAGTGATACTTTACATTTACTAAAAGGTACTTGTGTATACGCATCAATGTTACACATTAAAACACGCCTCATGAAATATACATGTAGAGCTTTGGTTATTTATCCGGGTGAAAACAAATGACCGATGACCTCTAGCCCTGGATGACCTTAAGGATTGGCCTATTGGTGAAGGGGGATGTGCGACTGAAATGAACCGTTTTCTGAACTAATTCACACTCTTGTAGGGAAAGAGTGTTGAATCATAAACAGACATTAGAAGAATTTTTTATAACGGTATATATGTATCTTAGCTGCTCTTGTCGATATACTTAACAAATCAACATATTCACACATATACTACCCCCTTTGATGTTGAAGATGAGATCGCCGTTGGGGAATCCCCGTTTACGTAGTTGGGTGGAAGAGAACAGGGGATTCCCCTTTGTCATAAGGTAATCGCGCGGACGATCTCATTTACGCATTTTTTAAAATTCCTACTTGTCCAGTGACAGTGAAATATTTCTAAAAAAGCAAAGTATATATATCCTTTTTTGGTCTGTCCACATGGGTTCTTGCTCGCTGATTTTCTTGGCTACGTGATGACCAAAGAGCTAAATGAATGGTTCATTCCTTCTTGCTTCAACACATGTGACGTAATCTGTTTTGCTGTGAACTGGATGTTCCAAGCTGTTCTTATAACCACGTCTTGACGTCGTTAACACGGAATCAGTACTGCATGTCTTCGACGAAAGATGGATAACACTTTTTAACAGGTTGGTCAGGTCCATTTTCACATGTAGGAATCATGTGGTGTATTACCTTTCAAGGGGCGTGGCATTGTTTTTCCCTGCTGCGACCACAGCAGCGGGTCCATTGAACAGAGTTCACTGATCATATCTTATGGTCAATCTATATTCATGCAACCAAGGAGCTTCCATCAACGTTGATAGAAGCGCCTTGATGCAACATAGGGGTTAATAGATATATTGATGAGGTAGTTACCCACCTTAGGTGTATAAATAGCAGAACATTCAGTTCAGGGCTTGAAGTTGAAGGTGCTCAACAACATGGCCGCCTTGGTGACCCAGGGCGCTATGAGTTATTCTGTGAACCATGCTAAGGAGTCATTTCGGCGGTTAACAACCCAAGAAAGATGGTGGTGCCAAGGAAGTGCCAAAAACAACGAGCACCCCTTGAGCTATTCACAGTACAGAACAAAATACGATCTCTCCGAACATAAACGACATAACGTCTATATTGACTAGCCTCCTTTGCATACGTTCTGGGAGTGGTCGTTTTTGGGGGAGGGGGCTTAGTTGCAACGATTTTCTGATTAAACGTAGATCGCACACGTTAGAAGAAGGAGCTAAGTGTTGGAAGTTGCTGGAATAAGCCCCCCCCCCCAAAAAAAGCCGAACGATCACGGAACGCCTGCAAAAGAGGCTAACACGTGGATCAGATGCAGCGGGCAGATGCTAACAAAAACAAAACGCATAGCGGGCCGGGAAGTTAATTTATATGCTGTTGTGTATAGACAATCCCTCACTGTCAAGGAGGTTTGAATGAGTAACCAATTTTATGACATGAGGAACTGTCGGGGCACCATGCTATGTACATACCACATGGTGCATACCACAAGGTAGAGGTCAGGACTGCTGCAAGGTATTCCCATGTAAACACTAGCAATTGGTTTCACGCTTGAGAGAGCACGGCACACACTCTCGCCTGGGGTTTATCAACAGCTGACAATCAGTTCAGCTGTTAGTTTTTCGTTGATATGCATCCTCAACCACTTCAAGAGAACAGTTGCAACGATTTTCAGATCAAACGTACGTAGATCGTACACAGATCGTATACATTAGAAGATACACCCCCCCCTCACAACCACACGTGCACACACACACACACACACACACACACACACACACACAAAGCCGACCGCTCACAGAACGCCTGCAAAGGTAGCCTCTATCAGGCTTTGGGAGGCGGCTGGAAAGGGTGGAAATCGGTCATATAGAGAGATAACATCAGTCCGCGGTGAGAGAACAGTTTGCCGTAGGTTATGTTATATGGTTTCTGCCAATGCAAAGTGTCTCATTCTGCCGTGCATGCAACTTGAGCTGTCCATGTGATGTGCACGTTACTAGCCTCTACCAGGCTTCGGGAGGCGGCTGGAAAGAGGTGAAAGAGTGGAAATCGGCCAAATAGAGAGGTAACACGTCAGGGGAGAAAACAGTTTGCCGCACCCGAAGCCTGTGCGGAGTCTCGGGTGCGGCAAACTGTTCTCTCACCGCGGACTGCAGCTGACTCCCCTGACATGTTATCTCTCTATATGGCCGATTTCCACCCTTTCCAGCCGCCTCCCGAAGCCTGATAGAGGCTACACGTTACTAGTACATGTATCATATTGATCCTGCAATATTTCAGCAAATTTCTCAAATATCACGATTAGGAGTGTCACCGGAATGAGGTAAGTTATACCTACCTTACGATACGTCCCCGTGTAGATCTGTCCGCTCTTCCGCAGCCAACTGCAACAGGTAGCAAGGGTGCTAGTTGCCACAGCGTGTCACGAGAACAATACTGGGTATGTTGTCATGAAACTTGTACTAGCCAACCGCCGTTGTGTGACAAAACTATTACCATATGTATGTCGTATGACGTACTATGCGCCGTCACGGTGCAATGCCCATATTTGGTAAATACTATATATAGTATTTACCAAATATGGTAAATACTATATATATAGTATTTACCAAATATGGTAAATACTATGTATAGGTTGTGTATTTGGTTTGGTACATGTTACAGTTGTACAGTTGTTTTTGGACCCATGCCAAGATCGATGTGACTTGTGGCCTGTCTGAAACGTTTGGAAACATCAAAGTATGACGGGGAATTCGGGAATACATATACAATCTTCTTTTTGCTCCACCATTCATTGTGTAGCCGGCTAGCCAGCCATGTGTTTCTTTGGTGGATAACAGATCAAGAACAGTCCAGATGTCCTATATTCTGGGAAAGTCCCTTAGAACCATTGATCTCCTCTTGTGACATAACACAAGCTATAAGGATTATTACTATGTTAGTAATGTGGAGTAATGTATGCAGGTCGTGCAATCTCGATGTTACGTCATTATTCTGTGTCGCAGGAACCTGAACTTCGAGAACTTTCCCCTTCCTGCTGCCCTCCAGCAGGCTCCAGGGGAATCCCCTTTGTCATTACTCGCCGTTTTTTTTCTGTGACGCATTAACTTGTTCCTCCTAGAAATTTGCAAAACTGGAAAACTCCTTCGTCATGATGACGTCAGGTAAACTTGGACAAGGTCATTCACCTTAACAAGGTGTGTTTTAGTCACATATTTCATGGAAAATATCGTTTCTAATGTCAAAATTCCTGTTTTCACGTATGTTGGTTTTGCCACTCTATATCAATTTCAGGAACAGTTCGACACATGCATTCATGTCTAGACGACTCTTTTTGCCCTTCTAAGTCGTGGGTTCTATAAGTTTGTATAAGGCAAAATTGCTGTGTGCTATTCCGTGAGTTTGACCAGTAAGACAATGAAATGTTAAATTATTCTGTCCTAAAATCGCCAACTTGTTACAGGCGACTCATGAGACCTGTAGCTGTCTGTCTGTCTGTCTGTATGTATGTATGTATGTATTATGGGGCACTTGAAACATTGGAATGTGGTTGGATCAGATTGATTCTCTATCGTTGACTACACAGCCAGGTGTATGGGTAACCACTGCGTGGAAAGAATTTGTATGAAGCCACTGAATATCCCGACCGCGGGCATTTCGCATGTACCAGTCAACCATTAAACCATTGTTGGTCTAACCTGGAAGGGTCAGGTAATTGCGGTTGCCTGTTGTGATGTCACGATGATGACTATAATTAAACATGTTGCAAGTCATGATGTAATTGTACATGAAAACGTGTCTGGCAAATCATTCCAGCATGGCAGAAAAGTCATAGTCATGAGTCAAATCACTCCAAATAGAATATTACGAAATGATGAGTCATGATAAGCTATATAAAGCGAAAAGTCTGTTTAGTATAGTTCTAGTTAACACTTGTACTGGAGTATCGGCAGTCCACTAAGAGTTGGGTAAGTTTTTAGCGAAGGCTACTTTTTAATGAGTGACTTTTTTGTTTCAATTATGTTACTTATGTAAATTTTGCCATTAATTATTTTTACACAAAGTATTATTATCCTTTTTTTTTCAATCTAAATGTACAAAACGTCAAATAACAGGATATGTCGTTAGTATTACTGTGCATATTTGTAAGACCTTTTCTTAAAATCCTTCGCATCTGTAGATTCAACTTTTTATGCATTGCGATTTTATCAGCCTTTAATAGACATATCAAGCAGACTGAAACAATCTTACATTGTATTTTCTTATGTCGAATAATGTAACTTATGGAAAGGTACTGTTTTTCTTTTCCGTGATAAAAGGTTTCTTCCAAGTACATGCTGTTCACTGTATAAACATAATAATGTTTTGACGATCGAAAAGAAAACATTATAACAGAAGAGCTAGGCTGCAAAGTTCCACAACATCCATAGTACCTGGTTTGATTATCACCTATATCATGATTCTATGACAGGTACAAAGTAGTAGTAGTACTAGTCGGTAGCGTGCTTTAGCGGATCTGTTGTGATCGTGCAATACTAGCAGTTGCTCATTGTCACGAGACACGTACGTCAATGTGTGTCACCGTGGAGACGGGCGAAGCTAAAATGTTTTGGAGAGGGATGGGTATCGGTGACGAATTTTTCTTGTAAACCACAGGAGCGTGTTGGCATCTTGCCACTTAGACAGTGTTGTGTCATTGAATAGCTAACCCCTCACTGTCAATTGTATGAGTAATCAATGTTCGGAGCGTCAATTAATAAGTAATCAATATTCGTAGTAGCTATAGAGACTCCCTGCTCCGTGTAATGGTGTATACCACAGGGCAAGGGCAAAGGTCAGCATTGCAGCAAGGTGACACCCATGTAAACAGTGGTTTCACGCTTGAGAGAGCACGGCACACGCTCTCGATGAACTGGGGTTTATCAACAGCTGACAATCAGTTCAGTTCAGCTGACAATACTTACTTATATTAAAGCATTCCCAACCTAGCGTGAGTGTCAGCCTTTTTAGCTTTCGTTCCCACGTCTCGCTACCGGCAGCGGGTCGTGGGGAGCGGACGAAAGCTAAAAAGGCTGACACTCAGGCTATTCATATTAAACTAAACAAAAGATCAGCTATTTCTCTGGATTATTTCCCATGATTCACTAGTCTCGTTGGTAAAGAAACGCCCAGATGTATACAGTAGATATATGTGTGTTCCAGGCAGTGCGGAACGAAACAAAATAAAGGCAAAGCAAATATTATTTGTAAAATATATGTAATTTGCAGTAGACTCAAGTGTAATTTCGGTCAGTAATCCAATCATCACATTCCCGGTCCATTCTCCCAAATTAACACATTCTATCTCATCCCCCCTAGTATGCCAGGATTTTCAGTCATTCTGAAAGAAACGGGGACGGATCCCAAGTATTGCTGCTCAAGCTGTGGCAACCTCCTAGACGAGCCAAGACAGACAGAGTGTGGCCATAGATACTGCAGGACTTGTCTAGAAGAACTAACAAGGTAACTAGGGAATCAATAAAATGTTTCTTTGGTCAGTTGTTAACCGGCATGGGCATGCGTCATGATCTACACGGTCTTTTTTCGGTGATTTTGTACTGACAAAAAAAATTACGACTTGCTTGGACGTTTGTTTCCTAGTTGGTCGAGCCTCTGTCTTGTACTACAAGACAAGTATATCTACAAGTTGTAGATATACTTGTACACTAAAATACAGTGCAGCAAGAAGACTCATAATATGAGATGGCTCACTTGATCGAGGAATCTAGGTTTCTTCACAATGCTGTGTCTTTGAATATCAGTTTAGCAGATAGGGCTGTGTATTTCAAAATAATTTAGCAAAAATGTGATTGTGCCATATCATCTATGTACTTTTTGCGTTACATACATCTTAACGTCTTATATTTGCAGGACTGGCGAAGGCAAATGTGCAGCTCATAGGTGTGGAGAAACTATCAAATTGAACGACGTAAGTTTTGGATCATCATTGCAAGTAGGATGTGATACGCGTACGAGTACCTTTCCATTATGTATTACTTTAGATAAGTGTCAGATACTAACCCAAAATAAGTAGAAAGTTTTATTTTCACCTTTCTCGGCGTTGCAAGTTCAGTGTTAGGTTCACAAAGATAACCCGATTTCACATGAAAATAGCTTTTGTTTTTAAAACAGGTTGGAGCCTGGTGGTGTGCCCCCCTGATTACATTGAATGTTGCACACAATGTTTATGTATATCTATGAGCAAAGGTATTTTTAGGTACCGAGGAAGAAGAAGACAACAGGGCTGTTACACGCCCAGACCAACTGGGGGAACAAAAGGTCTCATTTCAAGGTGACCGCCAACGCTCCTTTGTCTCAATATTGGTGAGTATAAGGTTATACTGCACAGTATGGTTGTTCTGTGAGGCTACTAATTGAGGGCGCACGCACGCACACACAAACGCGTACACACACACGCACGAACGCGCACGCACGTAGTTAGAAATGGGTCGCCTTGCCCATTGAATCTTTTGTGTATCCAAAGACTGATTGTTCAACTATTTTATTTGCAGGTGACCGTGGCGGTTCTTGCTGTTGACCGGTCGGCGTCCTCGGCAGTACTACATTACATTGAATAGCAAGAAGTATGGACTCTATACGCGGTTAGAACTGCGAGCCCTTGTTGGGCGTGCAGTGTTCTTTCTTATTGAAATCTACCCCAACAGGTATTTCTGTAGTTCTGCATTTTACTTTGTGTGTCTTCTCCTATCTTGTCTTCTTTCAAAATTCTCATTCTTGATGAGTCTGATTCTCAGTCCAAGTCTATGACGAGGTGAAACTTAACTTTATAGACAGAAGTTCTTGTAACGCCGAGAAGGAATTGTGAAATGAATATAACGTTAGATGTATAAGTGGCATTGTTGTACCAAGAACATCTTAATTCGCTAGACCTCCGCCCCTCTAGCAGGTATTTCCTGACAAAGCGATTGAACGGGAAGTCGGGGGCATTGCTGTCGTCTGTAACAACGTGAAGGATGGCTGCGATTGGGAAGGCGTCGTGCGGCAAGTTAAGGTGAGCTTTGTTCCCGTAACAAATTCTAATGAGGATCTGTAGGAAATTGCTTGTATAAAACTGCTAGGCCGTGTGTTTCGTATGATTCGTTCATAGTCAAGTCAAAGTCAAGTTAAAGTTTATTGCACAACGATTGTCACGGGTACAATGTATGGCAAATAATAATGTTACTAGTTGCTATGAGTCTATCATAATTCTACATATATGGTCAACGGTTATTGTGTTTGACAGAGTGTAATAAAGATCATATGATCAACTAACTATACACTGAAAAAAATACTGCACGTATTTACTATGTCCCAATGGTAAATCATTGAGCAACAGTAAACTTTTGTATCTTCATCCTTTTAGAAAGTGGTGAATCATGTAAGAACGAATTGAATTAACGAACGACAATGATATTGTATGGCTAAGCCTAAAGGGATTTTGAACCTAGGACGTCTTTGATATTTTCTCAGGACCACCTGTCTCAGTGTGACTACGAGAGGCTCCCCTGCATCCACGAGGCCCAGGGCTGTGAGAAGAGCATCCGGAGGAAGGACCTGGCGACACATCTGCAGGAGGAATGTGACTTCCGTACGGACGCCTGTCAATGGTGCAAGACCAGCTTTCCACACAACCATATGAAGGTTTGTATTAACCGTCAATCAATATGTCTCAATATGTGTGTGATCATGCCTCCTACTTGATCAACCGTTACATCTAGCTTCCTGCATCTAGTGTTTGCCCTGGTAAAAAAGATATGTGCTCTCAGTTCGAAATTCATTTATAGTGACGCAGAAGAAGAGTAACGGATGTCACTCGAAACTTCCGGAAGTTATCTCCGTTATTTATCCAGTAGTAGAGTTTGATTTGCCTTTGAATGTTGTTTATCTTGATGTCTGACCTACATCAACGTAAAAAAAATGTGGTTTTATGAGGTGTATTTGTTCACACCGTGCAGGATCATCAGAAGTCATGTCCGTCGGCACCGGCTAAATGTGACTGGTGCAGTAAGAAAGGTCTGACTCGGGCTCAACTACAGGAGCATCAACATCCAGAGACAGGAAACTGTCCCAATATGAAGATACCCTGCAACTTCACACCAGCAGGATGCAAGGAAAAGGTAAGTATTGCTAATAACATATAGCAGGAGAAAGCTACAAAATGTACCTACATAATGTACCTGCTGTATAGTGTAGGTTGAAAATTGTTATTATCGTTACAACTATAGAATCATTGGTGGGACGAGGATAGCAGATAAAACTTTGTACGATTTTTGCAGATGGAAAAGAAACACCTCCATGAACATCAGAAAAAGTCATCATACGTCCATCTAAACATGCTGTTGGCTCTAGTTCTTCAGCTGGCTTCCAATTTTGAACAGCACCGGACCCAAGAGGTGGAGTCAAGTGAAAGCATGCGGCTCCACATCCCTCAGTTACAGAAAACCATCCAAGACTTTGACAGCAAACTGGTCCAAATGGAACGGAAGATCGCCAGTGACACGTCGGAAGGAGCAACAGCCCCGGGGTCGAGTGGTGCGAAGGCACTTGAGAACAGAATCGAACAGGTGAGGGGAAAACTAGAAGATGTAGTAAAGAAGCTCGCCGCCTGGGAGCCCAGGGTCGGCACGTTTGAAGGGATCGTCGCCGTCCTGAACCGTGAGATCGAGAAGTGCAGCTCACAGATGGAGGCGTACGAACGACAACGTCGGCAGGACAGGGAGATCATCGAGACCCTGGAGAGGAAGGTCAGGTCTCTGGAGAGGATCATCGCTCTGAAGGACGTCGCAATCGCCGAACAAGACCTCCGGATCCAGACCCTGGAACTGACCAGCTATGACGGCATCCTGACGTGGAAGATCGCGGATTTCACTCGCAAGCGCCACGACGCCATCACGGGGAAGACAGCGAGTTTCTACTCGCCATGCTTCTTCACCAGCCGTACAGGGTACAAGATGTGCGCCCGGATCTACCTGAACGGAGATGGGATGGGGAAGGGCACTCATGTCAGCCTGTTCTTCGTCCTGATGAGGGGGCACTACGATGGACTGCTGCGCTGGCCGTTTAGACAGAAGGTCAGTTTTAATTATTGCATGTTCTTAATGTAAATTGGTTTACAGGTATATCCACCCTGCATGTTACACACGGTCAGCGCACCTGACTATATGCTTAGTATATCACCCATAACAACTTATAACCCCTAAACCATTCATGTCTACATGGATTTCTAACTGACGTTTAAAGCAGTGGTGCTTATGGCAATTTCTCGTGTAGAAATCTACTTTCTTTATTTTGGCCATGTACCATTTTTAAAGCCTTGGCAATGGGCGTTTCCTTCAGAAAATGGTCCTCTCCTTGGTGCTGAACACACACTCATATCAATTCCATAGAACAATATGATATTTTAAGAACAATGAAGATGTATGCAATGTATGCTACACAATGACAGACACAGACAAACGTTTGGTAACGCCTGTGACATAAGGAGATTTCGTAAATGCCTTTGTGTAAACAATGTTAGTCAGTGCAAAACTTGACACCCAAGATGGCTGCCCTCCTTGTACCCTGTGACTCTGTGACTTCATTACAAGTGGCCAATTGTAATAACTGAATAGATTTTCCGATGTTTCGAAACTAATTCCGTTTTACTGTGATTTTTCATAGCCCACTTTCTTTCCTGTTTTTAAGATATCTAACCGTTATAAAATTTATCTTATATATATTAACTCCAGGTGACCTTCATGCTCCTGGACCAGAACAACCGTGAGCACGTCATCGACGCGTTCCGCCCTGACCCGACCAGCTCGTCCTTCCAGCGGCCCACCAGTGACATGAACATCGCCAGTGGATGTCCGCTCTTCGTGCCGCTCAGTCAGCTGGAGAGCAGCAGCCATGCCTATGTGAGAGACGACACCCTGTTCATCAGGGTCATCGTGGACACCTCTGATCTGAATTAAGAGTAGAATAAGAAATATTGTGCCGATTGGATAGTTTTTGATCATGTGTGTAAGTGGGGGCCGTACAAATGTAAATTGTAGGGCCTACGAAGACTATATACACAGTGTGTCATATCACAATATTAATAATATATTGAATACGTTCGGCAACTGTAAGATATTAAGATACTGTCTTACTGTAAGACAGTAAGATATGCACGAGTAATTCCTATGAAAGATGGCATCCTTGTTCCAATTGAACAGTTGTTATGTAACATGAGATTTTCATGACATGAGATCTATAATTTTGTTGGCTTTCACCCTGCAAGGTAAAGATAAACATCAACTGAGCATTGGGACAGGGATGCTATCTATGAAATTGTAGGATTGATCGCAAATGCTGCCTATTATAAACTACACTAGGATACATGCTGTATTTCATTGACAGTGCTGCAACTTAAACTTGTAAACGTAACATATAATGTACTAAACCATGGAGTTAGAAGATTTTCGAACTCCATGCTCAAACTAATAATAATCATAGAAAGTCACTGTGAAAAGTAGCGTGATACATATTTCTTAATGTATATAGAAAAGACAGGATTAGTTTGACCAAAAAGAACGCTTGACCTAAAACTGATGAAAGTTTGGGTTATCAGTTGAATTTTATAGATTATTGATATGGTGTAGTCTCTTATATTCTACATTTTAACTTTCAATGAGATAATCCATAGCATAGTATTTGTATATAGCAACCTGCCAACCTAATCCCTACATGTAACTACGTATAGTACATACAGTTCTATGAATATGTTTTAAGAAAATTGGATAGGCATGTGCATGTAAACTAGATTCAGCTGTAGATTAACATTATTTATGTGATGCATAGATGTGTTTAGTTAAATATTGTGAACATCAGTGTCATTCAGGCAACATTATATGTATGTCTGCTAGGTTGATAGAATGATAAAGAATTGACTTGAATTAAAATATGGAAAACGAACATTTGCACAAAGTGAGGCAGAGAGCTAGAAGTCTCTCCCAATAGATGTAAAAAGCACTTCATTCATACAAACATTCAAAGCAAATTGCGCGAGAGAATTGTGTGTGACTCCTGACCTCTATCCCCTAAGACCTGGCATGGATACGGACTATGAGTATGGACACGATTTTGAGAGCACTATGCTTTTGTTATGTACATGTTATTGTATTGGTTGTGTATGCGTGTACCCTGGACCTCACTGGAAAGCATTCTTCATCAGCCACTGAGGACGCTACCCTGGTTAATGAAAACATAAATAAGTTAGATAAATCGAACAGAAATATATCTAATAGAAATCATTGTCATTGTTAGTTTATTCCTGAAGTAGGATGACGAATAATGTAAGGTTATGTAACCCAAGTTCTTATGAAGAACTTGGGTTACATAACCTTACATTAAAAAAAAGGGTGAAGGTGTTTTTGTCATCTGTAATTATACTTGCATGTGTGCGTGTTTTAGCACTGGTGCAGTACATACACCATTATGTTAGTCTTACGGTTATAAAGCGTTCACGTAGGAACATTAAAGTGTACTTCGCGTTAACCTGTCACGTACTTCAATGGGTATAAAACAGCTGTCCCATTTTATGCGTGTGCATTATCTAACATGCCATACGATTGGTGTGGGTACTTGTCTTACATTTGGTTTAATTTGTTGTTTACAAACGTTTGGCTGTTTTGGCAGATTACTTTTTGGCGAGTTAATATATCATATCATATTATTTTATTATATTATATTATATTGTTATATTAGAATTATAATAATATTTGCCACGTGATGTACTAAGGACACGAAAGGATATCCATATCTATCAACAATACTTTACTATGTCATATTTATCTACGGATTGTTAGCGCAATTAGCAGTGCAATTAAATGAGACGATCGTTTATATGACATGCATGAACTTTTTATTTCCCAAAACAAAAAAGTCTACGACCTTAATTTACGTGACATATTTTATCGCTTTAGCTATACACAAATAAAGATCATTTTCAGTTACATAGTGAATGCCAGTACTTTTTTTTTTTACAAAATCATATGATGTAAAAGCTTATAAATCTTGCCTACTTCAGGCCAAAACAGATTAGCCCAGTACAAAGCAATATCTTTATTGTAACAGATTAAGAAATGGATCTGATGCATAGCCCTTGAATACAGTCATATACACTGCAAATGCAGAGTCGATTAAATGGAAGTTGTGTATTCGGAAAAAAATACAGAAAAACAACAAATTCACGTAATGTGTATATATAATACACACAAATTCTCCATTCAAATAAGGTGTATTTGTTTAACAAATTGGAATGAGCCTTGTTGATGCACTAAGTCTGTGGAATGATGGATTGCAGATGATGCAAACCTAGGTTGAAAAACTATGTACACACATACACTTCACTCACTATAGCACAATCTTATAAAATGAATATCAGGGCAAACTGGAGCTATCTATTTACAGTTATATTCAGTCACAACAAACAAACAAACAAACAAGCAAACAATCAAAACTATGTTATGCAGCGCTACCAACAGAAACAAAATAATATAGCACATGGATGCCTCTTGAGCCTATCGGCAGAAAACTATGAAGTTGGGGTACAGAAATGTTTAGCAAACCATGCCATGTACTTATCAAAGTCTCTAGCCCCACTTTGTCATAGTTAGTCTCCAGCGGTTTTAATTTGTCACCGGGAAATATGTCCCTGGTTGTAACAAAATCTGATTACCTGAACTCAAATATTGACAACATAAGCTTTTGGTACGCAGATGTTATGACATGATTGTCGTCACATTATCACAAAGTTTGGTCACAACTGATCACCAAGGGTGGAGCCTAAACATCACAATACGTCTTACAAAACACCTGGCCGGGGCAGAAAATGAAATGTTATTTCTAATTTTGAACGTATCAAGTGCAACGATCTTTTTTGTGATTTCCACCCCGTGAACGATAGGGCCATTCAGTTTAAATCACTTGTGTCGACAATAACACGGAGGTACATGGTGTCGTCTCTCACATAGGCATGGCTGCTGCTCTCCAGCTGACTGAGCGGCACGAAGAGCGGACATCCACTGGCGATGTTCATGTCACTGGTGGGCCGCTGGAAGGACGAGCTGGTCGGGTCAGGGCGGAACGCGTCGATCACGTGCTCACGGTTGTTTTGGTCCAGGAGCATGAAGGTCACCTGGAGTTGAAAGATTTTGTGTAAATTGAGAAGAAGCAGGGCTTACGGTTCGTACATAACTGCCTGAGACAAAAGCCAATGAACGTTACTATGTACAGTGTAATCTACATGTACCTTTTGACGAAACGGCCAGCGCAGCAGCCCGTCAAAGTGCCCCCTCATGACGACGAAGAACAGGCTGACATGAGTGCCCTTCCCCATCCCGTCTCCGTTCAGGTAGATCCGGGCGCACATCTTGTACCCTGTACGGCTGGTGAAGAAACATGGCGAGTAGAGATTTCTTGTTCTCCCCGTGATGGCGTCGTGGCGCTTATGAATGAAATCCGGAATCTTCCACGTCAGGATGCCGTCATAGCTGGTCAGTTCCAGGGTCTGGATCCGGAGGTCTTGTTCGGCGAGGGCGACGTCCTTCAGAGCGATGATCCTCTCCAGAGACCTGACCTTCCGCTCCAGGGTCTCGATGATCTCCCTGTCCTGCCGACGTTGTCGTTCGTACGCCTCCATCTGTGAGCTGCACTTCTCGATCTCACGGTTCAGGACGGCCACGATCCCTTCAAACGTGCCGACCCGGGGCTCCCAGGCGGCGAGCTTCTTGATCGCGTCTTCAACTTTAGCCCGAATCTGTTCAACTCGATTTTCCAGCGCTTCAGAACTGCCTGATCCTGATGCCGTCGCCCCCTCCGATTGGTAAGCGGAAACGTTTTGCTCCAGCTGAGCAATCTTGCTGCCTTGGTCCTTGTCCAGGCGAGGAATTGCGGCTCGCATGTTCTCGCGAGACCCGATGTCCTGGTCCCGGAGTACTAGTCCCTCCAAGTGTGTTGCCAACAGGAGAAGCATGGCCAGATGCCGAGCTGTAATGGCCTTCTTCTGGTGATCCCCATGTTGTTTCCTTTCCAGCTGCAGAATTTAGAATGCGATTCGTGAAATCCCTAATTAATGAACAATTGTCTTCATAGTTTGAATAGATTTGATGCTGTTGTGCAAATGCAACAATCTTGTTCTCTTACCTTTTCCTTGCACCCCACGGGTTCGAAGTGACAGGGCAGCTTCATGTTGGGACAGTCGCCACTCTGCGGATGTTGGTGGTCCTGCAGCTGTGCGCGGGTCAGACCCTTCTTACCGCACCACCCACACCTGGCAGGCGCCATGGGGCATGATTCCTGGTGTTTCTGGTGATCATGGAAAACAAAATGTTACCAAACTTTGATCAAAATATAAAAAAGGCAAAAAGATTGAGAAGAACTAATACCAAAACAGTTGAAATGACATCAACACAGACGAAATATTTGATTATTCAGCTAAATTCTGTTGCTAAATTACATAGTATCATGTATCAGGTCTTACCGCAATGTCCTTGAAAGGGTACCACTGGCAGGCGGCAGACGCACAGTTGTCGGTGAGATGTTTGGAAAGGTCCCTCCTTGGAAATCTCTCTCCACAGTCCTGGTGAATGCAGGCGATCTTTTCATACCCACACTCAGCGAGATGGATCTGTAATGTAAATGACCTAATGAATATAAAGGACACCACGGACTTCTATGTTCGAATCGAGCATTCAGGTATTCGTGTAAAATGATATTCGCTTTGTTACTGATTACCAACTCTCGCTAATGATTATCGAAGATTTGTTCAGCCTCTTAAAAGAGCCCCATGTACATGTACAAGTAGCACAACTAAGAAAGCTTCGTAATTTCTCGTATCTCCCAGTTGTACTGTAAGTCATGATAGTACAACTAACGTCACTTACCTTAAGTTCCTTGAGAAGCCCCTCCCATTTGCAGCCGTCGTCGTCATTGTTGCAGAACACTTCAATGCTTTGTATTTCTCTCTCAATAGCCTTGTCCGGGAAGACCTGCAATCACCACCAAATTACATGAATGAAGACCTTTATTGTACATTTTGCCCCACTGGGCTAAGCACAGGTCACATTATACATACTGTATACGAATACATATTCATATAAACATACATGTAACTATTACATGTACATGTATATATAGATGTCTAATGTAGTCTAGTCTTTTCAACTTCTTCTCGCTTCTTAGTAATTGTATAAATGTACGATGCTGTATCATGAGTAGTTAGATTTGGTTTATCAAAGGTTAACAGGAATATGAATTTTTCTTTACTTGTTAAGAATCCGAAGTGGGGAAATTTACTTAAAACATGTCCGAAAAGTATGCATCTATCACTGTCATATAAAGGACAATCTATGGTAAAATGTACTTCGTCCTCTACTCTATCTTATTCTAGACTACAAAATTGGCAGATTCTTTGCTCTAGGGGAGTGCGGTTATGTCTTCCTGCTTCGATTCGCAAATTGTGACAACTGATTCTTAGTTTTGTAATGGTGGATCTATGATATATACATTTGCTAATTTAAGATATTCTCCTTCGTTATAAGAATGTTCTAATAGTCTGTATAACCTGAGTTTATTCTTTGCTTTAAAGAACAGTGTGTCTATACTTTCACGTGTAGGAACCAGTATAATGGTGTCCGCCCCCCAGCGACACATCTGGTGTCAATAATAAAAAATAGACTAACTGATATGTATGTTCAAACGTTCAAACGCTCAAAATTGTCTGTAGATAACGGCAAGCTAAGATTTTACAAGACTCTCAAATCCGACTACTCTATGGAAAAATACCTATACCACAATGAATTTGACGAGCGAGCTGCCATGTGTAAGATTAGAATAAGTGCGCATCCACTAGAGATAGAAAAAGGCCGCTATAGAAAACTACCTGTGCACGAGAGATTATGTAAATATTGTACAGTGAATGCAATGGAAAATGAAATACATTTTGTTAGCCAGTGCCCTCACTATGAGACCGAAAGAAACAGATTATATCAGACAGTTACAACAATTTCTCCATCCTTTCGTCATTTAGAAGATCACCAAAAAACTGCATTTCTACTAAGATCACAAAAAGCACTAATTATGCAGAATGTGGGACTATTCATTATCCACTGCCTTCAAAGAAGAAGTCGAACCCCATAATAGCTAGCGTAGTAGTAGTAGAAGTAGAAGTTTTTTCCAGACAGTTGTTACCTGTCTCCTGTTACTGTATTGCAATGAGTATTATACTTGATTGTAAAAGCAATTAGCCTTCGGGCATGATTTTGCAAATAAATACATTATAATAATGTGACTTCCTGATAAGATCCTCGACCAGGGTCAGTCTGGGGCGTGTATCCGTCGCGTGAGCATCTCTCTATCTCCCCTCCCTCGACCACGTTATATTTGGTGGCAGCGGTGGGACGTTTAAGTGCAGACATTAACTTAATTTACAACTCACGTTTTCAGTGTTAATTTGTTGACCGCAAATTGGCACCTTGCACTGGAACCGTTCGCGTCCGCTGCTGAAAGAAATGATACCCAAACAATGAACATAAATATATGTCAGAAAGGGAAACGAATCTTGTGACAGCCGGTTCAGGGACAATGAGAGTGATTTGCCCAGAGACATGACCACTTGGAGCTATGCCCCCCCCCCCCCCAAGTCTATCAAGTCCACACATTTTATGATCTCTTTATCAATACTTAGCGACTAAGTATGGTTTTCTGCTTAAGCAACCTATCAAACCTATATACGTCCTATTTTAGAATATGCAAAGCTCCCGTTTGGACCTTCCGTTTGACACACACGCAAGCACACGCGCGCGCGCACACACACACGCGCGTGTGTGTGTGTGAGCACGATAACTCGAGAACGCCTGGACAGATTGTCTTGATATTTGGTAGGTGGGTAGGTCTTGATGAGACCTGGAACTGATTAGATTTTGGGCCCCCTGGCGGCTTGTCATGTTACTGCAGCAGAACTTCCTGTTTTGATATCTCATGATCCAGGCATGCTAGGGTCACAAAATTTACATGGTAGATAGCTCTTGTATTGGAAATGAAGTGACATGAGTTTGAGCCCCCTAGCTGCTTGCTGCAGGGGCGTTTGTTGAAAAATGTTTAAAGGACGATAACTCGAGAACCGATTGATGGATCGTCGTGATTTTTGGTATGTAGATAGCTTAAGTGATTCTTGACATAATGATAATACAATTATGCAAATACGGATGTAATTCCATAATTAATAAGGAAATTAATTATGCAAATTACATCCGTATTTGCATAATTGTAATATCATTATGTCAAGCATCACTTAAGCTGTCTACATACCAATGATAGGGCTATGTGTCAAGCTTGTGACATATGTAATTAAGAACGAGAGTAACACAGGCAGATATCGATTACGCAAATGACGACTTAATTTGCATAATTAATAAGAAAATCTTATAATTCCATAGTGTTAACTGCCTGGAATTTCATACTTGGGGTATTTGAAAGTGAAGTGAATGTGAACATAATTAAACATAACTTATTCAAATAAGGGCCTCATTTGTATAATTTATGAGGAAATGCTATAATGACATTCTTTGCTAAGACAATACTGTATTTTCGTGTAGAATATGATCAACAGATATAATTCATGCAATTGATGATCCCATTTGCATAATCAGGGGGATTAATGTATACTTTCTTAGTCATAAGAAAGTCATTTGGCGAAGGTATGAGATCGTGGAACTCGTGGATAGTTGTAGAATGCTGTATAACTCTGCACATATTCTCTCATATTATTGTATTTTCTTTCTCACACATGTTGTTTGTATTTGTAATTAGCCCTCGGGCATGAATTTGCAATAAACTTTCAATTATTGGATGGAATGGCTATGGTGATCGAGACAAAGGATTCTCTCTAACAGTCTCCACTAACATTGCTATCAAAGTTTACTCTAAGCATCGCAGACATAATTTTCGTCCTCGCTAGAACAAAGACAATATTACATCTGTGGGTGGAGTATCAACATAGGCAACAATGTTCTTACCGACTCGGGTAGTCGAGGCATGATTTACAGTACCGATGTCCACATGACGTCTGTCTCGGCTCGTTCAACAGCAGATTACAGGACGAACAGCAGTACTTTGGATCGGTTCCCTCTCCTTTTATCTTCACAGAAAATCCTGGCATTGTGTAGGGGTTGATAAACTGAAATCTCTTTTTGTTCACACGACCACCTACAGGGCAAATGGTATACATTCTGAGACAGAAATACATCTACTGCAACTATGGTACAACTGTTTTAAACCGGCCCTCTATAGTCTATGATATAAACGTCAAAATAACAGGAACAGAGGTATTATTACCTAGATCTACCTTATGCTTAGGTCACAATTCAAGAAAGGGGCCCGCTCGGCGCGTGTTCGGCGTGTTTTTTGGCACTACCGAACGGGACCTGGACGGAGACCGGAGGGCTTCCCGACGGCTGCCGGCCTATTTTTGGCCCCGCGCGGTCGCCGAATCGATTTTAACTCAGAGTTAAAAACACTTCGGGCCCCGTTCGGCGAAATACGCCGAAGCGACGCCGTAACCTCACTGCCCGGAACCCGTCGGGCGGCCGAACAGGCACCTGCCTAAGATTATGACGTCACATGTGCTGATCAGTGCATCAGATGGTCAGGAAAAGGGGGTTATAGGGAGCATATATAAACTCCTGCCTCAGACTACGTCGCACAGTTCACCACGTGTGTGTTACATCGTGTACTTGTGTGTGTTACACCTTGTATTTGTGTGTCAGAATATCGAAGGGCAAGGGAAAACAGCCGGCACGGCTCTCTTGCCAACTTCATAAAACAGATCATATCAGGAATAGAATGTGTCTGACATTATCTCTTGTTACATCATATGCCTTCGTAATAAAATGGAATCAGAAGTTATTGGCATTTATTTTCAGTCCAAATTTCAACAGAAGTAACGATATTCAGTGGTTTTATTGCTCAATAGCAAGGAGCTGCCACGGCACACTTCCTGCGTCACTGCTGAAGTACTTCCTGCGTCACTGTTGAAGTACTTTCGAAAGTAGGCCCTCGGTTACTTTTGCGACGCACCAGTTCTGCCTGCCTCTCTTCTTCAGCTACCAATGCCAGAAGACCTACATGTAGGTTGTCACCAATCTAAATCTCAGACGGGCTTGTAAGTTGTTTGCAGGTTGCACTGAACGCTGCATCGCCAACTTCAGTCTACTATTTACTTGACGTGCAGCGCTTATATATGTACCTGCTCAAAAACACGAGAGGAGCCCGTCGGGATCCCGCCAGGAACCCGCCAGGGACCTGACAGCTGCCCGGCCGAACTGTAAGAGCCGGTCGGCACCCTACCACACGCCGCACGGGTCAAGACGGGCGACTGACCGGGCACCGGACGGGTCCCTGACAGAAACCGGCCGCAAAAGTTTATGAATATTAATGAGAGCCGCCGGCCTGAGCACAAGCAGGCCCCGACAGGGAGCCGTAAAGGAACATTTAATTGTGACCCTGACAGTACGGCGCACGCTCGGCGCCATGACGCCGGCCGGCGTCTACGCCGAGGACATGCCGAACGGGCGCCGTTTCAAATGTGACCTAAGCATTAGTCTTATATTTCATGGCTTTGTGTTTACAACAGCGTCACTAGTATTGGCGCTCCCAGGGAATCTCCCGTGTCCTTCGCAATGCATTCATTGGTAGAGTAATTACCTCAGTGGCCTTATCCGTCCATAAACTACGTGTGTATCAAGTATTATTCTGTTGACCTATAAACACAGAGGTTGACATGACTTTCGAAGCTGAGGGGGGGGGGGGGGCGACAAACCTTTTCAACTCAGAATAATACCTATTTCAATGAATGTGCAAAGACGTTTGCATTTCTAAATGGCACAATTTAAAGTTTATTTTTCGCCGCACCCCGAAATGTTCTCTCAACGGACAAACCCCCTTGCCATGCTTATTTATCTATTAAAAAACTCCCCAGGTAACCCACTCTCTCTCTTTTGGTCATGATCTTGTACATCTGCATCATGTCCCCCCTAACTCTCCTGTATCTAAGTGAAGCTTCTGCAGCCTGGAGGAGTATGGTAACTCCTGTAAGGAGAACTTGTGGCCCTGTGTTGTACCCTCTCAATCAATGCCTGGTCACTACTGAAGTGGCCCCAAACCACATTGGTATACTCTAGATGTGGTCTGACCATACATTTGAATAGAATGGGTACAGAGTTCTCCCAAAGGTTTTCCTTTGATAAGATGTGAACAGATAAACAGTGAAATGACTTTTTTTGTCTGAAATCTGGACTTGTATAATTTATTGTGTGCAAGGATCGAGGTTTGACCTCCTAGCTTTGTGTAACAATGCATGTGTTAGTACTCATGTTCGCCACGTTGCTTAGGTCACATTTGAAACGGCGCCCGTTCGGCATGTCCTCGGCGTAGACGCCGGCCGGCGTCATGACGCCGAGCGTGCGCCGTACTGTCAGGGTCACAATTAAATGTTCCTTTACGGCTCCCTGTCGGGGCCTGCTTGTTCTCCGGCCGGCGGCTCTCATTAATATTCATAAACTTTTGCGGCCGGTTTCTGTCAGGGACCCGTCCGGTGCCCGTCTTGACCCGTGCGGCGTGTGGTAGGGTGCCGACCGGCTCTTACAGTTCGGCCGGGCAGCTGTCAGGTCCCTGGCGGGTTCCTGGCGGGATCCCGACGGGCTCCTCTCGTGTTTTTGAGCAGGTACATATATAAGCGCTGCACTGCCTGCTACCGTTCACTTCAAGTAAAGAGTACACGTCAAGTAAAGAGTACACTGAAGTTGGCGATGCAGCGTTCAGTGCAACCTGCAAACAACTTACAAGCCCGTCTGAGATTGAGATTGGTGACAACCTACATGTAGGTCTTCTGGCATTGGTAGCTGAAGAAGAGAGGCAGGCAGAACTGGTGCGTCGCAAAAGTACCCGAGGGCCTACTTTCGAAAGTACTTCAACAGTGACGCAGGAAGTACTTCAGCAGTGACGCAGGAAGTGTGCCGTGGCAGCTCCTTGCTATTGAGCAATAAAACCACTGAATATCGTTACTTCTGTTGAAATTTGGACTGAAAATAAATGCCAATAACTTCTGATTCCATTTTATTACGAAGGCATATGATGTAACAAGAGAAAATGTCAGACACATTCTATTCCTGTTATGATCTGTTTTATGAAGTTGGCAAGAGAGCCGTGCCGGCTGTTTTCCCTTGCCCTTCGACATTCTGACACACAAATACAAGGTGTAACACACACAAGTACACTCGTAACACACACGTGGTGAACTGTGCGACGTGGTCTGCGGCAGGAGTTTATATATGCTCCCTATAACCCCCTTTTCCTGACCATCTGATGCACTGATCAGCACATGTGACGTCATAATCTTAGGCAGGTGCCTGTTCGGCCGCCCGACGGGTCCCGGGCAGTGAGGTTACGGCGTCGCTTCGGCGTATTTCGCCGAACGGGGCCCGAAGTGTTTTTAACTCTGAGTTAAAATCGATTCGGCGACCGCGCGGGGCCAAAAATAGGCCGGCAGCCGTCGTGAAGCCCGCCGGTCTCCGTCCAGGTCCCGTTCGGTAGTGCCAAAAAACACGCCGAACACGCGCCGAGCGGGCCCCTTTCTTGAACTGTGACCTAAGCATTACAGAGCACGTACGCGTGCACGTCGAATCGAAATTTTGACCCTCAGCGTAAATAGCGGGTAAAAAGCACTTACCTTATTCCTCTCGGAACAACATGGAATTGATTGAGTACCACTTAGAAAGCTTGTTTTACTCCTCTAGTTAATACGTAGAATTTCGACTGCGCCATCAGCTGCAGCCTCTGTTAGACCGGCACCAGACAAACGGGCGCAAACAAACAGGCAAGAGGGTCCAACCGTGAACGTTCATTGGCCAAATTTGACCTTCCGCTACACTTGCTATTGGCTGCAGGACTATCAGTGGACTGTACTATTCGAAGAGGAAGGGGTCGAATCTTTGTTGTAAAATTCTATACACTCCTCATTTTTGCATTCGTATTTTGCCCCCCCCCCTGATCATATGTGAAAGAGCCACCTAATGTCCAATATCATGTCGTGTTGATAAAGTAATTATTATACATGTACCTAGAAAACATGTACCTAATACATGTACCTAGAAAACGGACCTTTTACTGTTCTTGGTCCTTCACATGTTCAAAATTGACATGTGTCCGACGACATACCGGGCATCACGTGAAATATATATTGGCGGGAAACTTCTGGCTGAAAGCCAAGCATCAATTGACGTGAAAACTAGAGTTCCACGATCTCATACCTTCGCCAAATGATGTTAATCTTTATGACTGACAAAGTAAAGATTATTTCTCCTGATTATGCAAATAGGATCCTCATTTGCATTAATTATATCAGTTGATTATATTCTCCATCAAAAGACAGCCTTATCTTCACAAAGAAAGCCATTCTGTCATTTTCTCATTAATTATGCAAATGAGGTCCTTATTTGAATAAGTTATGTTTAATGATGGTAACCTTCACTTAACTTTCAAATATCCCAAGTATGAAATTCCAGGCAAATTAAGTGTTAATTTACATCATCAATATCTGCCTGTGTTTCTCTTGTTATCAATTACATATGTCACAAGCTTAAATAGTCCTATAATGAAATGCAGCTGATTCATGGAATTTCCTCATAAATTATGCAAATTACATCAGATTTGCATAATTGTCGCTTAATTGCGTCAAGCGTCACTTAAGCTACCTACATATCAAAAATCACGACGATCCGTCAACCGGTTCTTGAGTTATCCTCTTTTAAATATTTTTAAAGAAACGCACCTGCAGTTCTAGAACAAGTTGCTAGGGGGCCCAAACCTACGTCACTTCTTCCCCAGCACAAGAGCTACCTACCATCCAAATTTCGTGACCCTAGCACGTCCAGATCACGAGATATCAAAACCGGAAGTTCAGCTGCAGTACCACAACAAGCCGCCAGGGGGCCCAAAATCTAATCATTTCTAGCTTTTATCAAGACCTACCTACCTACCAAGTATAAAGACAATCCATTTAAGCCTTCTTGAGTTATCGTGTTTACAGACAGACACACACACGAACGCCTCTGAAAACATAACCTTCTTGGCGAAGGTAATAATAATAAATACGTTGTTTCTTCAACTGTATGTAGTCTTAATGCGC